CGCAGTCGCGTGGTGTTGTGTAGCGAGTCTCACACACCAGTGCTCGGCGACAAAAACTCCATGCTAGACAGTATCGCAAGAAGAGAGGTGTGTGTTTCTCCCGCTTCTGCAGAGACCTTCCTCCTCCCCCTCAGGTGATACATTCTAATAACGTAACGGCTCTCCTATACCCGACACTCCTGGTTCCAGAAAGAGTTGGCAGGCGGGGTCCGACACGTTGCTTCTTCTCCTTCGTACTCCACCAGGCATTCATGTTCACTGTTCTCCAGCTGCTGCTGCTCTCCCATCCTCCTTGCCACCATCTCTAACTTCGGTCCGACAACACATAAACAAGTGGATTGGTTCATAGAAATGACAACCATTTATTGATCCCACACAGGTTTACAACTGCCTTTAGTTTGAATAAACATTAGATTAATACATAAGACAAGTCAAGTATGAGCTCTTTTATTGGGCCGCGCCAGAGGGGAACATTCAGCATCCCATCAAGAAGCCCAGTACATAAATATACTCGACCGATCACTCCGACCTCAATCCAAAATATTTAACTAAAAGTCCTACCCCCTGTTCTAAGTGACCTATCATTATACCTGCCCCTCGCCTCATAACTTAAAGCGCCCCAATAAAGTCAAAGTTACAAGAGAAGTAATATATCCGCCCATTCCAATTAACTGCCCCCCGAAAAATTATTAGTGTTAGCAGATTTAATATATCATTGCACCTCCCCATCCGCCATCTATATCTGCTCCCAGTAATTAGCCATCAATTGATTAGCACTTAAAGCTTACCTATACTATATAACATAATAATGTCTCATGTTATAATAGATTGTTTTTCACCTATTTACCTGTGGATTACAGGGATAAATATTGGAGTATGTAAAGAAGATTTAATACACCCTGTCAATTTTTTTCATGATGATATATCAGCAGAGAGTAGGTATTATGATATGATCTAGTTCCAATTACCCAATTACATTTACTTATTCACCCCTCCAGCCTCCTACCTTTATGCACTCTCAGATATAGTCGATTGAAGGTGACGAGCCCTATGACTGTTTGCTGCCCATAGCGCCCCAGATAGTATGCTAATAGCATCCTGGAACCCGGAGTATATTTATAATTCCACCTACAATAATAAATTAAAAATCTGAAATCTAGCGGTTTCAGTCCTCCATACTGTTCTGAACTCATGATGACAATTAAAGACTGTTTTCAATCAGTGACCTCACCATAAACGGGCAGGAAGGACATCCGTCCATCTGCGTCTTGTTGACGTTGATGCCGGCGATGTCAACATGGTCGGACCGAGGTCGACGTTTCGCCACCCCCACCCACAGTCCTAATCCTGAAGACAACATGGAGATTCATACTAAACACGTTGGAAGGTGTCAGATGACTGCTCTCTGTGGCAGTAAATGGCTTATAATGAGTGCCCCTTGTGGGCTTTCTAGAAGTAACCGCGGAGGAAGCCCTCCGTCCAGACCGGACTTTTCACACCTCTACACTGAGCACTGAGATAGACTTAGAAACTAAGTCTAAGAGTCTCGTCGAATTTGACATTTCCGCTTCACTAAGACTGTTTCAACGAAGATTTTACTCTCATGATTGAGTTTTCACACGGCTGAGAATTAACATTTTTTTAAGGGTTCTTGTACTCAGGGTATGATGATAGGCCCAAACAGGATCCATTACTTTCGTTTGTTTTGCAGAAAAAACACTATTGCATTTCGGAAAAATACGTTTTTTAAAAATAAGTATGAAGTAGTAGATAACAACGTCTTAATGATCTGGTAGAGGAATCCTTTAAATGATGATTAACCCATGTGTAATTATGAAAATGTAAGAGATTCATAATGTTAATTCAATGTAAGTATGTAGAAGAATAAATAGCTTTTATTTCCCTACATAAACGGCACATTTATAATTCATCAGCTTAATATCTGACAGACGTGGTGACCAATGAAGTGGCTAGGTGTAGAGAGAACAAATGAGGATAAGTTGAGATAAATATATTGTTTAATTATATATATCCTTCCAGCAATTACTACATCAAGTCTTGCACATTACATTGGAAACGGAAATGGAACTGGATTTTTCCCTGGTTCCGCTCTCCTTGGCTAAAAAAACAACACCTCGAAAACAGATATACGCCCTTATATATCATATTTAAACCTGATTTCATAATTATATTGACCAGCGCTCTGCCAGACATGAGGCCTATTTGACAATCTACTTGCAGTACTTCAGTTCTTCGACCAGCCCTGTTTAGAAGGAGGACTGAGGAAATCCATGTATCTGTTATCCGGTTAGCAAAAACTTATTTCACAAATAGTATGGCCTTTTATTAGGATTTTACCACGAGTGTTCTTCGCACATGTTGTCGAGCTGTGTCTCCTAGGATGATTGAGTGGGTGTGCAAAGTAAATATATGTGCGTGGTCTGAAATGTCTTCTGTTGGTTATGGGAGATAGATATGGTGTGTGGTGGTGTGGTATGATGGTGTGAGGTGGTTTGTGTTGTTGTTTTTGGTGTTGTGGTTGGATGTTTTGTTCTCAGAGGTGTTGTGTTGTGTGTTGGTTGTTTGATTGTTGATGGTATGGTGTTGCAGTCCCCATAGTTTGGTGCTCAGACATGGACTTTGGTGTCTCGTTGCGAGTTGGGTATCTATTTTTTAATAGTTCCATCGGCAATGAAAGGTTTTCCATAAATGTAAATTGGCTCCCTTGTGATCATACGGCAGCAATGATATGGGTTGGAAAACCTTCTTAGTGGAACGGGGTTCGAAAACTAACGACTCTCTTGCTCCAGATGCCTGCAGAATTTGTATACCACAAACATGCAATTATTCCATATTGTTAGGACAATTGGAGTAGAAACTTTGACCTGAACCAACGCAGCGCATATCCGACGGTTTCACCCATCGCATACTTACCAACCAGACTGATAAAGACACCATGTCCAAAATGCACATTCATGCTCTATAAACTCGTCTAATCTTACTTGGTTAACCCTTATTATCCTTATCCAGTGTCAAATTTTTCCTGAGTTGTCTAAATCTGGCGTTCCAGGTCTTTATTAACTGTTTGCGAATACTGGTATAAGAACCGTTGAAAGTTGGTAAAAAAGCACTACCTACGCTGTTTTTATACATAAAAACTCACGTTGCATTTTTCTGAATTGCAACTTAATAGGTAGAAAAGTTTGGGTGAATATTGAGCCCCTTCAAGTCAAAAACATAGATAAAGTTCTTTTGAATTGAGTTTTATTATATTCCCCTGGGCTCTCAGTTCTCTATTTTTTCCAGTTCCTTTCTTCCCATACAGCCCTGGATTTTATTAAGTACTGATGGTCCCATTTAGGATCTACTTGTTGATTACATTGGAAAGTAAGTTGTAAAAGAAAGCTGCTAGCTTTAGCGTAAGCGTAGAGTAATAGATATCTGTTCCCCCTCTCTTTAATTTTAAAGATAACCTGGTTTTAGAAATTACGGACGCTGCTGAACATTAGGTCCCTTTTTGAAAAAAATTACAAAGAACAGTTTGTTTTTGAATACGGGGCGATCCCCTTCGGTCTAACATTTTTTTTTTGGACCTGCTGTAATCAAGATTTCCTCTAATATTGTAATATAAAACTGAAGCTTTTAGTACATCTTCCCCTATGTCGTGTGTGTTGTGTGTGTGGTTCAATTAACAAATTGGATGTTGGTGGTTGGTTTTCCAGTTACGGACCACTCGGAAGGGCCTGGTGGGGATGACACGTCTTCCCAGGCCCTTGGAAGCTTTAAACTGGTTTTTGGACTGGTAGACTGAAAAAACTTTTTTTTTTAAAACCTTTTCGGCCACAGAAGTGACCTCCCCGAGGCTCCCCCTCCCTGTTCCTGGCCATCAATGGGGTCCCAACTCTGGAATACGTTTACAGATGTTAATTGTTAAAATTGTTTCCCCATTAAAGGTCTTTTAACATAGAGCTATTTTGTATGGTTGGTTTAGGTTTGTGGTAACTTGGGGACATTAGGAATCCTCAAAATGACCGGATTTTTAAAGGTTGTCCTGAGTTTTTTTTTGCAAACCCTATTAAGAAAAATAAACCCAGTATCTTTGGGGAAAATTGGGGAACCCTTTTTTTCTATAAAAATAATCAAAATCAGAAAATGAAAAATATTCGATAACCTTAATTTTATCTCTGAGCCCTCCCTGCATGCCCGTGCCCATATTCCAGTGGTAATTGTTCCCAGCCGTTAAGAGGGAAAAGGATTTGCTCCACTAACGTATTCTTGTGGGAAAGGTTTCCATGTGGACGAAGGCTTCCCTGCCAAAAAGAAGGAGCCCAGACAAAACAAATTGGGCCTTAAAAATTTTAAAGATTTTTCTTAAATTTCATACCCGGGTCCCGTCTCTACTGGGTTTACAGAGTCATTACACAGGGTCAACACGGCCAGCCCGCGCTAGTTTTTATCTTCTTCTCTGGCTGAACAAACAACTGATGTGAGAACCTGGTCTCCCAAATGACCTTTGAACAGCTTTATCGAAAGCAGAAGGCACTTTTATTGGTTTTCTTCGGTCAAAACAGCTTGCCCCCGTGGGAAGTTTCATCGCAGATCACATGTCGTCAAAGACCCAATGTTTGCATGTCCCAATCTTGAACAACAACTTCGTAAAATTCCTTGATACATTTTGTTTTAAAGTTTGTTTTCAAAGTTTTTAAAGTTCCAAGCTGCAGGGTTACCTAAAAAGTTTGAAAATTTATGTAATCCTTACTGATCCTAGAGAAAGGTAAAGTGGGTTTACAGATGAAAAAAAATGAAGGTTATTTATATTTCTAATGGGAGAAAACCCACTTGTTTGACACAACCAGTTATCTTGATGGATTGGTTGTTGTGGGTTTTTCCAGGGAGAAGAACCTCTAAATATATACAACTACCACTTTGTCAAGAATGAACGGAAAAAAGCTCGAAAAACATGGGGGAGGCCCGACTACAGTAAAAGGGACCCTGAACAAACAACTGTTGGGACATATTCCACTCTTGTTTTCTCTATTTTTGAAGGAAGCCCAGCTAACTTCCTTTTAACCTTTTTAAATTTAAACTAGAAGTTACGCAGCTCGGCATCCTCCTTTTCTCTTCCAGGCACATTCCTCCTTGGAGTTATTTCCTTCCAGTAATAAATACCTACCGCCCCCGTTCTTCCTGGAAAATGGTGTCCCCCCCGCGGCCCCATTCCGTGGGGGACGGCGGGCCCTCCTCCCGAGTAACAGGGACACAGCTTCCTAACAACCAAGGCCTTCCAGAGACCCCCAACTTTCAACATCCACCTGGGATGTTAACGGCCCTCAACAGGACCCTGGAAGACCTTAAACGTTTTTTCCATTAAAACAATCCAATATGTCAATGATATGGTATACTAGAGTTTTTATTCTGGGAGGATGTTTGCAAGTCGTAACACTGTTGTTTGCCTTGTCCGTTTTAAAGAATATTTATTCCTTTTTTTTTTCTTTTCACATTAAAATGTAATAAACCTGTTGTTACGCGGTCCAAATCAAAACGATTCGAGCTAACGGTCAATGTTTGTCGTGTCCGTACTCACCCAGCTTCCGGGTTAAGGAGGAAGAATCCTTCTCTGGTGTAAATTGGGGGATTACCCTTGAACCTGCCAATGACTTACCTATGTTCAGTGTGATTAGTTTAGTAATTTTGGCTGAAGAGCTTGAAATTGTATTGTTTTTCTTTTGCGTCTCTTTCGGGACCAAAACCACTGGTTATCCAGACAGGCCTTAAACCGAAATGACCAAACTTCCTCTGTTTTTCTAGTTTGTCCTTGGATACCCTTTTTCAGGGAAATGTCGTGGCTTTTGCCTTTCCTCCCACCTTTCAGCCCAGGTTTGTTGGTGACCATCGCAGATAAAACCCGTTGGTGGTGTCAACTGTTGAACTTTTATGGATGGTTTTTGAGGTGGGTTCCCCGGCTGCCAGGTTTTTTTGGGGAAGGAAAACTTCCTGCCCCTGTCATGTTGGACGACCTGGTGGAGAAAAGTTGAGAGAAAGGCCCTTGGAGTCCCAGAGGTTTTTGAAAAAAAACTGGAACAAATAACTTTAACGTCTTCCTTTTATCCGAAAACGGCTTACCCATCCATACAGTTGAGGAAATTCTTGCACGGGCTATAATACGACACACACCACACAACACACAGGTACCCTTGATTTTCTTGCAGAATTTTTGCCCCCTGAGGAAAATACCCACAGTTTCACCAGTGTTGTACAGTAAACCTCGGCTTAACCCAGAAGGAAAACCTAAAGAAGTTAAACAAACTAAGTAAACAAACCATGAGTAATATCCATGGAAGTGTTGATGCTGGATTTTGGACAAAACGACTAAACTTCCATTATCCCTACACTATCTCACCATATTTTTAATAATCAACTATCAATAGCACACTACGACATTCGGAATACCACACTTTTTTTATAGTTAATCTAAAATAAAATCTAATTTATGAAAATGTCTTGAAGGTTGGATCGGAAATCAATAAGAATTTATACCAGCCCAGAGGTAAAACACTCGGGACAGTGGTTAATTCGCCTAAAAGACCAATAAAAAGACATATGAGAAATAATGCCCTTTAACAACTGATACATTTCCAACAATGTGTAGTTTAAAATAAATATATAATAACTAGTTTATATATTTTATTTTTAAGCACCTTATAGTTACAAAGTTTCTTCCAACATGGGTTTACCAGGATGAAACATTTTTAAGACTTGAAGCCATATCGAAATGAAAATAATGTTATTAAAAGTTTAAAGCGAATGTGAATTGGCCCCTCGTGTGTCTCTTGGTTTTTTCCTTTACGTCTCCTTCTCCAAGTCAGTTTCTCTTTTTCCCCTTCTGGGAATAAAGCCCAGCTTTTTTTTAGAGTTTTTTCCCGACATCAAGAAAAAATTCCTCCCCTCAAATGGTCCGAGGAAACCCGGAAATATAAACCAACCCCAACCACCCAGTTACACACAACAACAAACACACACACCACACACACACACACACACACCACACCCACCACACCACACACCCACAACACAACACAAACAGAGAAGAACCACAGAACACGCACACGCAAACACCAACACACCACACACAGACACAGACACTGTTAACAAAATCTTATTATGTTTTTTTTTAACAGAAATAATTTTCCCCTGGGTAAATTGAAGGGTTAGTGGGTAAAACACGCAAGTGTCCTAATTTTAAATGTATTTATATCTTTTGAAATGCCCCGCCAAGACCCCATAATTTAGAACCCGATGTTTAAATTGCTGACTTTTATTATTCTTATTCTTGTTAACAGCCCCCAACTTTGGGGGTCAGTTGGAATAACTTTGTTGTTAAAATGTTGGCCTTAATAAATAAACTTTACTTACTTACTTACTATTGAATTAACATTATGAATCTCTTACATTTTCAATACATACATCATTTAAAGATCCTCTGCAGACATTAAGACGTGTACAAATACTATAAAACAATAATGTGTTTTTCTGCAAACAAAAGTATAATTTCCACATTAAAACCCTTAAAAAAAGTAATTTACTCATCATAAAAAACTCCTGAATCTATGAAAATGCAGATTTAGTTTATTTCTAAAGTCTATTCTCAGTGTCTCAGTGTAGAAGTTGGATCCTGGACGAGGTACAGGAACAAATAATAAGCATTAAAGAGACACACTGAGGACTCTTTAATGACTCCATGTTGTCTTCAGATGCTGGTGGCGAACGTCGACCTCGGTCCGACCATGTTGGACATCGCCGGCATCAACGTCAACAAGACGCAGATGGACGGGATGTCCTTCCTGCCCGTGATGGTGAGGTCACTGATTGAAAACAGTCTTAATGTCATCATGAGGTCAGAAAGTATGGAGGACTGAAACCGCTAGATTTCAGATTTTTAATTTATATAATATTTAAAATTTATATACTATTCATTATATATTATGCTCATACTGTACTTAACTATATTTTATATTCTACATTATATTGCTGTATTCACTGCACATTGTGTTATACTATTTTATATCCCATATTATATTATACTGAACATTATTATGTTGATATAGTATAGTAATTTACTGCATCATATTTCTATATTCATATATTAACTACACTATAATTTTTCATATTATATACTTCTCTTGTAACTTTGACTTTATTTGCTTTTTATTTTATATACTTACACATATATTTTTATATTTTAGTCTATCTGTATTTATTTCTGTTCTTATGCTGAATTTCCCCTCTGGCGCCCAATAAAGGCTCATCTTCTCTTATTTTAATCTAATGTTATTCAAACTAAAGCAGTTGTAAACTGTGTGGGATCAATAAATGGTCGTCATTTCTATGAACCAATCCATTTGTTTATGTGTTTCACCAGGAGGGGAAGATGAACAGCAGCAGCTGGAGAACAGACATCCTGGTGGAGTACGAAGGAGAAGGAAGCAACGTGTCGGACCCCGCCTGCCCTCTGCTGGGACCAGGAGTGTCGGTAGGAAACGTTAATATCACCTGAGGGGGAGGAGGAAGGTCTCTGCAGCAGGGAAAACACACACCTCTCTTTCTTCCATCTGTCTGCAGGAGTGTTTCCCAGACTGTGTGTGTGAGGACTCGTACAACAACACCTACGCCTGCGTGCGCACCGTCGCCCCCTCTGCCAACCTGCAGTACTGCGAGTTCGATGATAACGAGGTGTTTGTCGAAGTGTACAACGTGACATCGGACCCCTTCCAGCTGACCAACATCGCAAAGACCATCGACCAGGAAGTGCTGGAGAAGATGAACCATCGGCTGATGATGCTGCAGTCCTGCTCCGGACAGTCGTGTCGGACGCCCGGCGTTTACGATCCGAGGTCTGTTCAGCACTGAAATGTACCCAGATTAAAACACACACAGTAGCAGGTTTGATTTCCACACATCTAAAACTGGTAGCTTCCTGCTGCAAGAAGATATTGATAATAATACTAATGAGAAACTGTACAATCGGAAAAATAGCTTCCTCTTCCACTTGGGAAGATGTGAGAGCTCTGAGCTTTTAGATTTTCTGTGTGAGTAGCAGACAAAAGTCCAACTGTGGTAAGCACATGTAAGGAAATCTTCAGGTTCTAAAAATGAAGAAAAAACTGAAACACAAATGAGTGAATTGAATGTTTTCAAGTACTGATTTAGCTGCACGTTCTTTCCTCCACATCATTAATTAAATCCTGATAACGGACACCTGGTCGAGCATTATCCCTCACACAAAAACACTTTGAATTCATCAAAACTGCCTCGGTTTGTCGTCTAAATAAATCTGAAACGGTCAGATGTGAATATATTCTGGCACTACAGCGGTTTCCCTCGCTGTCTTTAAACTGATGTTGACTTTTAAAGTACGTAGTGCTTCTGTCCCGAGGGAGATGATCTGCACACAGTCTCAGTAAAACTGTCTAAACAGACTAAAAGGTCATTAAAGTTCTGAACTTTTATTTCCATTTAGATTTTTGTGGATGTTTTGATGCTTTTTTGCCATTTCAAACCACATTCCCACAAACTGTATACAAACACACCAACATCAGCTCCTCTCTGTGTTTCCAGGTATAAATTTGACCCTCGACAGATGTTCAGCAGCCACAGCTGGCGGATCAGCAGACTCCGACAGAAGATGAAATAAGACGAAGGAGGACGGATGGAGGGAGGAGACGGAGGAAGAAGGGCTGTATTGTATTTTGTATTCGGCCTTTCCTGCTGTTGTTGCCTTGTTTTCAGACCTCCTGAGCCAGTCTCTTTGTAGATGGATGCAGAAGGGATCACGTGGGGTCATGTTATGGGTGGGAGGCCTCTCTGGGTGCAGAACCCACCTTCAGTCAGTAGGTGTGCAGGGAAAGCCAAATTATTCAGGATGGATTCACACTCGCAACCTTTCATTCACTGATTGTCTGCACGCTCACAATCCCCGCCCCCGATTCTCTCGGAGAATATCAGCATATCAATAATCAAAGCTTTTTCTTTTACTCGTCTGAGTTGGTTTTTTGGTGCATTTGGTCTGTTTCTGTTCGTTGCACTAAAAGTGTGGAAAAATTGTGGATACGTAATTTTCGCTGTAACAGATTTCCATCCAGACCAAATGTGTCTGATGTGACGCTACTGTAATGTGAATATCAGGAGTTTAATCATCGTTAAACTTTGTTGGAATTTTCAGTTTCTACATCAGTTGTTTTAATCGAGGTGGAAATGTAGTCAGATTACAAACAGCAGTTACCTTCTACAGATTATTACAAAATCAATCGAAAACTTTAAGTAAAACATTCTTGATCAAGTAGCTTTAGTAATTTTAAGTGACACTTAATTTGTAGTTTTTATTTGTACTCGTTACTGTAACTAAAACTACAGTAACTAACTTACTAAAACTGCTTAATCAAAGAATCCTATTATATTATTACGATTATAACATTATTGTTCAAGTTATTCATTATTTTAAAAATGAATCCAGTAGTAGTAGTGAGTGAGTGCTGTCCTTTATTACCGAGGGATCCTCTGTGTACTCGTACAACTACACTGGATAATCTGATGATGACCGACTGCACCAAAGAACCTGACAGTCAGTTTATCTTCTGCTCTATGAAACAGAGCGTAGGAGGACAACTGGGAGAAACAGCGCCACCTACAGCCCGTAGAGGCCCAGTGTCGACATGAAGTAACTTAAAGTTTGATGTTAGAAATATACAGTAAGGTGTCAGATACTAACCAGCATATGTTGTATCATTTTGTTAATAGTTAGCATTAATAATCGCTATATGGACGATATCAGAGGGTTTTAGGGTTATTGAGGGTGTTGAATCTAAGGATGGGACAATGTAGTTGCAGTTATTTTTTTGTAACATGAAAGGTTCGTACAAAAAGGCTGTTTAAACCACGAAGGGACACTTTTCAGCTCGCGGTGGGCTGGTTTTGGTTAATCTTGAGGTTATTTATATGCATAATGCCCAGAAAGATCACTGTCATTGGTGCAAATGTTCAGACGTAATATTTAAAGTTTATAAGCATTTTGTCACTGACCTCCATCTTTGTCGCTGTGATTCTGTTTTAAGCACATAAATAATCCCAAAATCTGCCAACCAGGAGCTGAAATGTGGCGACAACGTCTGGTTTAAACGTCTACTTTGTGCTTTGAATGGATTCAACATCTTCACTAACTCCCAAACCTCCTACATTGTCCAGATCAGCCAATCAGCTGCTGAAATATTGATTATGCTCGCATTAGGTTAGTGCTGGGGACCCACACTGTACATTTCTAACATAAAACTTTGGAGTTGGCGACAAGCAGACGAACAGGAAGTAAAACCTTCATTAAACACCAGTGATCAATATTTTCTCCCACAGTCGGCAGTATTCTGGAAAAATGACTGAATGAATTCACTGAAACTGACACAGAATCGCAATAAATCAGACGCACAGAATCACATGACTTTTACAACGTATGCGACTCAACAGAAAACAGTTTAATAAAACAACTTTTGACTGAAAACAGAATTCATACATTCATACGTATATTCAGTGTCTCGACTGAGCGTTAAAGCACCTTTTTCATTCACAAATCTCACTATCACTTTTCATCTTTTCTTCTTATGTTTTGTAAATTCTTTGTCATCTTTTTGATTTTAATCCGTCACGTGTTGCACATTTCATACCGAGTTCATTTGAAAACATGAATTTGTAGGTTGGAGTCGAGTATTTGAATAATTATTTCATGTTTGAGGGATTTGACTGAGCCACTGGTTCCTAACGTGAGGAAGGAAGTTCAGAAAGACGGAAGATAAATCTTGCCAAAAAAAGAAATCAAGTTTTATATCAGTTGTTTTTAGTTTTCTGGGTTGGATGTGAGAACTTTAAAAGGCCAAATAAAAGTTTAATTTGACCAGTAACGTTTGAAATAGAGAAATAATCTATATTTGATGTTTCAATGCGACCTCCTTCATACTTTAAGGGAACTAAACATAATGTCTTTAATTCTTTTTGTGGCCCTGCCTTTATGTTTCTACAGTCAGTGTTAAATTAATTATAGTATTATTATTAACATCCAACTGAAGACCTGATTCAGAGAGTTGAAATATTAAACAAGGTGACATTCAGAAAGTCTCTCTGCTACGTCTGCATGACGTCTGTTGTCAAATCTTTTTTTAATTTTGCTCGTGAGTTATTGTCTTTCCGAAGAAACTGGTTAATTGTGAATCGTTGGTTTTCTGTTCGCTCGTACAGCTCGTTCTTCCTCTGTTCGACGTGAGAACACCGAGCTCTAAAGTCAACAAACACGCTGTGATTAGTTTCCCTCTCGAAGCCGATCACCTCGTTTCCGTTCACTGATGCACTTTCCAACCTGTTAGGATGTCTTTTTGTTTTTGGAACCCGTCGTTTTATTTTCAGAGTAGTTTTTGATGATGATGATGATGATGATGATGATGATGATGTATTTTAGGCTTGTGTGTTTTTGTCCAAATAAATTCTCTAAATATCTCAGAGAGTTGTGCTGATTGATGTGATCTCGCTGTGACGGAGTATCGGAGCCACACTGAGGGCGGGAAAAGAAAATCTAAATTGTTCAACTAAAAAGTTTCAATGTTACGAAAAAAAAGTCGACTAAAGTGTTATAATGTAGAAACACGGCGGACTCAGTAGATAAAAACGTCTCAATCTAAGCAAACAAACATCGATTCTTATGTTCAGATGATTATAAACTAATAAAAACATGAAGTTGTAATTTCAAATAAAAACAACTTTATTCTCTAAATATGACTTTAATTCCTTTTCCTAATACTCTTAACTAGTTTAATTAGTCTGCCTGTATTTAAAAAGCCCTCTAATGCATCAATTTTACAAATATCATATTTAAAGGTTGTTAAAGGACCAGTGTTTAGGATTTAGTGCCATTGGACTCGACTAAACTACGGCGGCCACGAAACTGACAAAAAACGCAGAAGGCCGATCTAGACGTAAATGTAAAAAAGTAAATGTTTGGGACACATAACTGCACTAAAACGTTTGTTAGTTTTATGCCAGTAGTTTTAGATTAAAGTTTTCTTCTAAAAACATCTTTATGAGTCTCTAAGTTCACCTCTGGACTTTAAACCAGGTTCGATCCAACATCCCCGTGGCGCTCTGGAGGTGAACGCCGACTAAAAACCTTAAAAATCCTGAATCACAACGAATGTCCTCGTAGCTGCTCGATGGTGTCAAAAATAAAAGAATCCGCCTACATTCAGCGCTGGTTGTCCGCCATCAGCTCCGCCTTCACTCCAGGACGGGCAGGAACGGCAGCTCGGTGCTGCCCAGGTAGGTCCTCCCTCGGTGCTGGAAGACGTCGCTGACGGCCCACGTCAGGCGGCCTTCGGGGTCGTGCAGCGTTCCCACGATCTCGCCGTCCGATCCCAGCTCCAGGACCAGAGCGTAGCGCGGCAGCAGGAGGTTGTACCAGCTCAGAGGAATCACCTGGAAACATTCAAATTAATCAGCAACTGATTCTGATAATCGATTCATTTTTAAAGCAGGAAAACGTACGATGGTTTCTGTTTCTGATATTTCCTTATTTACTTACACTTATAGGACGTATCGGCTTTTTCCATTTCTTGTTTTTTATTTTGAAAACAAAACAACAAAAAACCTGAAAATGTGTAATTTTTTTGTTTTTTGTTTTTTATTTTCGGAACAAAATATAGAAAATGTTTCCTTTTTATTTTGAAAAAAAAAAAACTTTTGAGAAACAAAAAAACAGAAAACAGGTCGTTTTTATTTTTTTTCCTTTTTCTTATTTTGAAAACAAAAAAAAGGTTGTGGTCCCAACTTTGGTTTTCTCGTTTCAAAATGAAAATCCGACCCTCTCAACAACAACTTCCTGTCACATCTGTGGGTTCGATCGACAATGTTTAATATTTTTTATGTGACACGATCAAACAGAATAAAGTTTTTGCTAAAATCTGAGAAACATCAGAAGATTAAAAACTTAAATCATATTGTGATTCTGATCATTAATATTGATATTAGTTGATATTTTATTGTATTTTTGCAGTAAATAATTTCACATTTTGACAATTTTCAAAGCAGTTTCTCTAAGTTTTTAATTTATTTAATTATTATTTTATTAACAGCTACTGTGTTAATTCTTTACCACATCAAGAGGTTTATTATTATTAACAATTTTATTGGCACTATTTTACTTCTATACATATTAAGTGGATGTATACGGTGGCTTTGAAGTGCAAATTACAAAAGCAAATAACAATAACTACACAGAAGCTTTAACCATTAAATTCTTCTGGGATTAAAACTATTATTAATATTTATTATAATAACTGACAGAAAGAAGAAATATTTAATATTTCAGCGACTGTTCGATCACACTGACCTTTGCCAGGAAGCGTTTGGCGGCCGGATACGGGGCGATCAGGTCCAGGAAAGGAGGCGTGAGCTTCCGGAAACGTGTCGTCGTTATGCCGACCAGGAACGTGCCGTGGTCACTACGGCGGATGTTGTCAGGGTAACCGATCATGTTGTCCATTACGACTTCCTTAGTACCGACCTTCGGGCCTTTCAGCCAATACCTGAGCGGAGAGAGTCGACTGAGTGTGTGTATGTGTGAGTGTGTGTGTGTGTGTCTGTGAGTGTGTGTTTGTGTGTGTGTGAGTGTGTGTATATGTGAGTGTGTG